CCGTGTGGACTTCGGCACTTCCAACGGTGTAACAGCTGCCCATTCCCTCAATGGACAGCCTTTCCATGGAGTAATCTACCATTCTGGGATACTCTCTCGTATAGGGATTCTCCTCCTCAGGTCCCTCTAACAGTGTCAGTGACTGACCCTGTAGCGGCTAATGCCTCTGCCACTGCCGCGGCTCCCTTGCCTAACCTTGTATGGCCCATGGGGGTTCATCTCCTACGATAGTCGCTTCTTTTCAGGGTGTCCCAGCGGCTCAACAGCTGACCGCTTCAGTTACTAGTGTAATAGAGATATGTTGCTGATGGGGCTAATGTGGGGCCTTAGATCCGCCCACAACCAGGCGTTGGAGTCACGACTGTTGGTGGAGGGGTGAGGGACTCAGGCGAGGAGATGATCTTGAAGAGGACGGTGGGTGCGATGTGGAAAAGGAGTGGTATGAGGTGGGATGTACCAACAGGTGTACGTATCGGGACTGGCGAACCAAGTTACATTAGAGGAAGTACAGGGAATGTTCGGCCATTTTGGGGAGATCAAGGAATCTTCCATAGACGTGGTAAGCAGAAGGTCTCCGGTCCGATGCCCAGCTACGGCATTACTTCCTCAGTCACCCTATGACCAATGCCAGTTTGCATTGGTAGAGTTCCAGAATGAGGCCGCGGCCCAGGTAGTATGATACCACGTTTCGGTCTTATCACGTCGGCTGGTGTCGTAAGCCTCTTCGTCGTGCTCTGTAGGAGGCGATTCGAGTGGGCGAGATACCATATCGTGGCCGAGTTGTTCGGGTGGAGAAGTCGAAGGAGACCGTGAAGCTGTAGTACTGGTCGTATTTCCTTCTCCTGATGATAGTTCCTCTTACCTCCCCATTGCCCTCCTACCTGAAGGAGCTTCTAACCCTAGGTACCCTCCTACTGATGTTGTTTTCGGCAAGCCTATGACCATTGGCCGACATGTTACCCCATTACTCCCCGGGAACCCTGGGTCTCAGATATCAGGGGCTATGAGGACGAGGTAGTGCCCGGGGTAGGGGAGGGAGGCGGCGGGCAGTAGGGCAGCTGGGAGGGTTGCAATGGAATTCTCAAAACGATTATTGCGGGGCGCTGGCACGAGTGGAGAACGGGACGTGATAATCGTTGGATTTATTGTCTCGAGAGGATCGTACGTTAGCGAAGTAGGGAAGGGGCGGCTCATTGAAAGATGCATCTACAGTACGAGCGTGTCGGATGAATGTCCAACGTCCGTCCAGATGGTGTCACTAGAATTACAAAGGCTCGAGATACGCCAGTGATAGGCGAGGGGGCTGTATAGTGTATCGTAGTAGATCAGTATGGCGATCCTAATGTATTCAGGCGGGATGAGATCATCGACTTGGTAGGAGAGGCGGCCATGCAGATTGAGGATTGGCTAGAGTCTCGAGGGTAAGGCTCGAGAGGACCTTCTCTCACACAGTAGTGGTATGTTGAAGGTACTGGCAGCCGTCTGAAGAGGCAAGGCATGTTCGGGAGACGTTTAGACAGAAGCATTCGAGAGTCCATCGTAGGGAAGAGGGGGATGGTAGTGGAGGAGCACGGCGGTCTAGGGATCAAGGGCACCGGAGTAGGTCGAGGGATGATCGAGGATCTAGAGGAGGTAGTAGTAGTTGGGAAGGAAGGGGTGGGATGGTGACAAGTAGGGCGTTTTTAGAATCGCGAGGACGATATGAGAGGTCGGAGTCGCGACGTTATAGAGACTCGAGGGGCTCGGGAGAGTATCCACCACAGCCAGCGGCGGCCAGCAATGATGAGGCCGAGTATTGGAGGGAAATGGGGGGCAAGGGAGGAGGAAGTAGTAATGAGGAATGCCATTGAGGAGGTGTTGGTCTTCTGGACGCGATACGATCT